TGGGACTGGGACTGGGACTGGGACTGGGACTGGGACTGGGACTGGAAACAAGATTAGGGAATGGGACTGGGACTGGAAACAAGATTGGGAATGGGACTGGGACTGGGAACAGAATGGGGAGTGGGAATGAGAATGGGGCTGGAAATGGGATTGAAAATGGGACTGGAAATAGAAACAAGATTGGGAATTAGACTGGAAATGGAAATGGGACTGCATCTGGGATTTATTCTCATTCCCAATCCCAGTCCCACTCCCAATCCTGTTCCCAGTATACGATTGGGAATGGGATTGGGAATAGGACTGGATATTGGAACAGCATTGGAAGTGGGACTTGTATTGGGAACAGCATTGGGAATGGGACTGGAATTGGGATTCAGAATGGGAATGGGACTGGGAAGGGAGCAGTGTTGTGACCCCCACCCCTTTCCATGTCTGTTTCCAGTCACACACCTGGGAATGACTGAGAATAGAATTGGGAATTACTGGGAATGAGAATGGGATTGGGATTGGGACTGGGACAGGGAATGACTGGGAATAGGACTGGAAACAGGGAGGGATTGGAGACCCCACCCTCTCCCAGGGGAACCCCTCCAGTCACACACCTTTGGGGACAGAAATGGGACTGGGATTGAGGAAGGAACTGGACTGGGATTGGAAATGGGAATGGGAATGGGATGGGATTGGGGACCCCCACCCTCCCAGGGCCTCCCATGTCCCGACCTTCTCTGTCACGTCCGTGCCCTTCCGCACGCCCTCCTCCAGCAGGATCTGCAGCACTTCCTGCAGGAATTCCTCCCCAGCCACGTTGTCCAGGCCWGGATCATCCAATGGGATGCTGTCCCAAATCCCAGAGGGCTCAGCCATGGCAGGAGAACACAGGGGGACCCCAAAATACACCAGGAGTGACCCTGGGATTGGGATTGACAGAGGGTGACGGGATGGGGGATCTCAGGATGAACTCCTGGAAGCAGAAAATCCTGGGATAAAGTGATCCCGGGACAAGGTTCTCCTGGGATAAAGGTGCTCCCAGAATGAAGAGATTGTGGGATAAGGTGATCCCAGAATTAGGTGCTCCTGGAATGAGGTGCTCCTGGGTGAGGTGATCCCAGGACGAGCTTCTCCCTGGAATGAGGTGCTCCCGGGATTAGTTTCTCCCAGGATAAAATTCTCCCAGGATAAGGTGATCCCAGAATGATGTTCTTCTGGAATGAGGTGATTCTGGGATTAGATGATCGCAAAATTAGGTGTTCCCAGGATGGGCTTCTCCAGGGATCAGACTCTCTTGGACTCAGGTGCTCCCAGCTTCTCTCACCTCTGCCAGCTGGAATTTTCCAGGATGATGTTCTCCTGGGATGAGGTGATCCTGGGAYCAGGTGAGCCCAGAATCAGGTGCTCCCAGGACCAGCTTTTCCTGGGATCAGGCACTCCCGGATCATGCGCTCCCAGATCAGCCTCTCCTGGGATGAGACTCTCCCAGCTCCTCTCTGTCTCCTCCCCAGGATGGAATTTTCCTCTGGCCACGTCACCAAGGGGCAAGGAGCAAAGTGCAGGACTCAGGAAGGGGCCCCAGGGCGGGGGACATGGGGACAGGGTCAGAATTGTGTCCCCAGATCCGTGGGAAGAAGGAAGAGTGGTGACTCCACATTCCCAGTGACCCCACAGCCCATTCTCAGCGTGTCCCCCCATCCCTCATGTAACCCCCATTTGTCCCTAATGTCCCCCATCCCTCCCAGCGTGTCCCCCCACCAGTGTTTGATGTCCTCCTTGTCCCCAGAATCCCCACACGTATTCTCAGTGCCCCTCATTCCCAGTGTCCCCCCAATTCCAGTGCCCCAGTTCCAGTATCCCCCTCCATTCCCAGACAGGGAGGGGCAGGGGGGAGTTGGGAGTGGGGACAATCAAGTTGGGCAGAGGAAAGGCGGGGATCGGCCCCCTCACGGGGGGATTAAAATGAGGCGGGGGTCCCCAAATGTGGGTCGCGATTTGGGACAGCGGGGAGCGGAGCCTGAGGCGGATTGTGGGGTGTGAGGGTGCCGGGGTGTCCGGGGGTGCTGGTGCTCGGTGCCGATGTGGATGATTCGGGGGGGATGGAGGGTGGGTCCCTCTCCTGGGGGGCTCAGGGAGGCTCGGGGGCTCTGGAAGGGTCCAGGCCGCGCCGTTACCATGGCAACCGCCCTCACCCATCATGGCGGCGCGGCGGCGGGCGTCACTCCGCCGGTGTGCGCATGCGCACGGCACCCCGCGCTTCCGGCCGGCACCGGAAGCGGCGGCGGGGGCGGGTGTTTCCGGTTCCGGGTGGCGGCGGCGGGGGGGCGGCGGGGCCGGGCTCGGGCGGTCGGAGCGCGGAGGGGCCGCGGAAGGTACGGACCGACCCCCGCCACCAAACCCACCCCCGCCGCATCCCCCGGCACCCTCGGGGCCGCTCACAGCCCGCCCGGCACCGGGGGGGGGCCGTTCCTACCGGGGATGGGGTGAAGGGAACGGGCCGGGGGTGGGAGGGGGTGGGGAGGGATTGGGGGGAGGGCCCTGAGGAGAGGGG